CACATATAAATCAAGTATAAAAATCAAATGAATATTCATATTTGACCTGATTGTTTATAGTTCATAATGCATGATCAAAACTGAAAGTTTCTGTGATGACTGCCCTTGTACTGTTCACCATGTAAGAACTTATTCACTATGTAAGAATTTGTTCACCATGTAAGAACTTGTTCATTATGCTTCAGAAGATTGGAGACTGATGAGAATTAGGCTTGGGATGGATTAATGATTGTGCATTGAGTCCCCTATACAGAATTTTATTGTTGTTAACAACCATTTGATCAATAAATATGAGAGATGCCCTCTCAAAAAAAAAATGGGGAAGATGTTTTCAAACATACAAACCTGAAAGAATTCATCACTAGCACACTGTACTACAAAAAAAAAAAAAAAGCTGAAAGAATTCAGGCAGAAGAAAAATGAAGCCAGATGGAAGTACTGATCTGCACACAGGAATGAAGAGCACTAGAAATGGAACTACACCTAGGTAAATATGATTGTTTTCTTATTATTTCAAACTCTTAATAAAAGATAATTGACTCTTTAAAACAAAAAATAGTAATAATGTAGTGTGGGGTTTTTTACTTATGTAGTAGTAAACTGTATGACAACAGTTCAAAAATCAGGATGGAAGAAATAAATGCAGAAGTCAATATGCTGAGGATGCCAGAAGGGAAAGATAAAAAAAATCCTAGTCCTTTATATTACTGCAGAGCAACTGAACCAATATTAACAGCAACTACTTCTCTTGCAACTTCCTGATGTAGGAGGAAAAAAAAATCTATTTGATCACATCTTCGATTTACTGACACGGGTTTGTTTACAGCCATAGGCATTTCAAACGGATACGCTATCCATAGCTAGTTAACATGTTAGTAACATTAGTAAAGGATCCCAGCAAAACAGATTATCAATTGTCTCTAGGCTCAATAAACTCCTGTGAGAAAATCTGAAAAATGGACACTTACCCATGCTAGGTGTGGTTCCTCCTTCCAGTAAACCAGAACATAATTCAATCCGACCAGCACCTTTAATAAAAAAGCATTGCTCAACATAACAAATTTTTTAAAATTAAAAATTAAGAAAATTTAAAAGCATTGCTGAAAAATTATTGTCCAAAATAAACTCATATTAACAGTAAACTTCACATTTTCTCCAAATATAAAGCAAAAACTCTTGAAACTGAAAGTAAATTATAAAAAAACTATTTAAATCCCAATTTTATTTTGCAACCCACAATGTTTTACTGATAGTCAAATTTAAGAGAAAACTCAAATTAAGCTAGATCTCTTAAAATTTTGTAATACAATATTGTCTTTTCATGTATAAGGAAGTGACTTAGAATAAAGAAGTTTCTGGATTGACCATACATAGTGGAACACTGAATTTGCTGATAAGAAAGCAATCAATTTTTTCCTGAGAGTCTTTATTATTTTAAGCTTTAAAAAAGCACAAGTTACTTTTAAGTAGCTTAAATCAAGATAATTTCAAGAATGAGAGAATGCTGAAAGCAAAGAACTATCAGACTATGGGGTCTTGTCAGGAGCCAGCTTGAGAAAGCTTTTACCAGCCACAGTTGGGACATTTTCAGCATCAATAAGAAGAGTAACTAAAATGGATTAAAACACATCAAATATGTCTAAACCTAGATTGATGATAAAACAACTCACTGGAGGATAGAGAACAAGGTCATTATACCAAAGATCTGTAAATAAGGGAAAAGAAGCAAGCATTTATTCTGCCTTTCTTGTACAAACTGGACTTAAGTAAAACCAGTTGATGAGTGAAATTTCTTCCTTATGGAAGTAGTCTGCTAATAAAAAAAAGTTAGAAAAATAAATGCTAATAAAAAATGTAGTACCATTTTGTAAAGCCACCCCTCGTCACTTGCTGCCCCACCACCACAACCTGCCCCCCATATAGAGGAAAGACTGATCGTGCACTGAAAATGGCTCAAGCTGAGTGATGGGTATATGGGGATTCATTATGGTATCTACTCTTTTGTATATGTTTGGAATTTTTTGTAATAAGTTTTAAAATATGCACTGCTAAAATTATTAGGTGGAAAGCCTAGGATAAGGCTGACAATATGTGACTCCACTGATCAATCTTAATGTCACAAAAATAGAAAACCTAAGATGTTACAGACTCCTGATTTAATGCAACAGGGATTATGTTATCTATAAAGTAGATATGCCAGAAACTCAAATCTGAATATGATTAAGCCTTTGGGTTAAGTACAACTTTACAGGAAATACAAGGGTCAAGGGAACATATAAAGTGACATATATATATAAAGTAAATATACAATCAGTAAAATTGAGAATGTGGAATACTCTAAAAGATGAAAATCACAGTTTCTTTAACAAACTAAAGGAAAGAATTACAGAAAGAAAAAAGGAAAAACTTACAGACTGAAACAGACTTAAAAGACATATCAAACCAATGAAATGTTTGGGTCTTGATTCAAAGAACTATAAAACAAAACTGTATAAGCCAATTGTAGAAACCTGAAAACTACTTGAATATTTTTGATGACAGAAGTTATTTTTTTAAGATATAAGTGGTACTGTTTTTGTTATCTTTTTTTAAACAGTCCTTCTCTTTTACAGATATATACAGAAATATTTAAGGATGAAATGACATCATGTATGGGATTTGCTTTAAAATCTGGGGATGAGGGAAGAAAGGTAAGATTATTAGATCAGGGGTCTAATAATAAAGAACTATGGCTGCAGGCCAAAGGCCCACAGCTTTCTTTTTGTTAAGGACTGCCAGTTAAAAATATTTTTGCATGTTTTTAAAAAAATGACATCCTTACTAATATGTAACTCACATACCATACAATTCACCTATTTAAAGTATACAATTCAGCACTTTTTAGCATACGCACAGAATTCTGCTACCATAACCACAATCAATTTTAGAACATTTTCATCACCCCAGAAAGAAACCTCACACCCTTTAGCAGCTACCTCCCCTTCTGCCATTCCCTTCAGCCCTAGGCAACCACTAATCTACTTTTCAGTCTCCAAAATTTGCCTTATGTGGACATGTGACATTAGTGGAATCATACAATATGTGGTATTTTGTGATTAGTTTTGTTCCACTTAGAATAATGTTTCAAAAGATTCATCTAACTTGTCACATGTATCAATAAGAACTTTATTTTTATTGCCAATTAAGAATGGTTTTTACATTTTCAAAAGATAATTTTAAAAAACAAAGGAGAATATTTGACAAAGAACAAATATAGTCAGCAAAGCCAAAAATATATTATCATGCTGCTCTTCGCAAAAGTTTCCTGGCTAACCACCCCTCGTCACTTGTCACCTCCCCCACCACAACCTGCCCCCATACAGATGAAAGACTGATCGTGCGCTGAAAATGGTTCAAGCTGAGTGATGGGTACATGGGGATTCATTATGGTATCTACTCTTTTGTATATGTTTGGAATTTTCTATAATAAGTTTTAAAATTTTCTGATCCTGTGTTGATGGGAATTTCTATGCTTCCAATCAAAGCAGGTTAAGTGCAAAAGATATATTGTGAAGTAAAAATAGATAATGTTCATAAAGAAAAGGTAATGATAAAAGTCCTGTTGTTGAAAATGGCAACAAATCTCTAAAATCATCTTTAAAATCAATGGTTTAAAAAAAATTAAATCTAGACTAAAGTTAATTAAAAATTAAGTTGGGGAATAAACACTATTGTGGACATTTGACTCAAAATGTTACCTACTGGAGGAGTAAAAATAAAAGTTGATAATTTTCCAGTATGTTTTCTAGTTGGTTGGTTGTTTTCAAGAATATTACTAGGTCCTTACATCACCAGGGCTCACAATATCAGTTCACAGGAATCATTTTCAGACTCTTAAAAAAAGACTGCCAACTGTCATTCATTCTCTAATTTCTCTTACCTCCTCTTTCTGCATTTACAGCTGACTCTACTGAATCAACACACACTTCCATGAGAAATCCATTTGCTGCTCCTAAAATACATGGAGAACAATGTAATTTAATGATGGTACTATCCATCCAGATCAATCTACCACAAATATTTTACATTTTGCTGCCAAAATCAAATGTCCAATAATAGGCAGGTATATAAGTACACTAGGGCCTATGAATAGAATACACTATTAATTATAAAATGAATGTCTCTGTGAAATAAATACACATATATAAAAAAAATTATACTGAGGAAAATATACACTGAATGCCAAATTAATCTTCCTCAAACACAGACCTCATCATCATATTTCAGGTCAGATTCTTTCAGTGCTTCTCAATACCTCAAGAATATGTTTAAATTTCTTTATAAGGAATATATGTTTAAGAACTGGGAGGGACTTCAAATCCTGGCCCCAGTACTTATTTGTGTGATCCTAGACAAGTTACTTAACCTAAGTTTTCTATAAACCAGGGTAGGTTTTAATACCTACCTTCAAGTAGAGTATTAAATAATCCATGTAAAGTGGATAGTACCCACTAAGTGTATGAAAAGTGTTAGTTATAATTAATGAACTACATATTATTTCCGCTACATGCCTCTAGTTCCTCCAACCCCCATCTCTGCACTTATGCCATCTCCTCAGTCCACAAAGTCCTTCCAGCTCCATTTATGAACACTAAACTCTTCCAAGGCTTATGTCAAATCCCATTTCCATATTTCTTCTCTCCCAAAGTAGGAAATTGTATTTCCCTGTTTTGAACTCATATAAATTATACATTCCTCTTTAAAATGCTTATTGTATCTCTTTAAAACACTGATTACTTTCTGTCTCATTACTATATATGTACATAGATGTCTCATCACTCTTACTTAACCTAAACTTCCTAAGTAAAGTCTGTATGTGACAAATCTTTATTATCACCCAAAGCAAGCACAGTTTCTACCCTGGTACACAATAGTCACACAAAAGTTTACTAATGACTGAATAATTACACATTCATAAAACCCTTGTATTTACACTAAAAAGTGTGATGAAAACAAAGCTTTTAGCTTTTTCTGTAAGCATAGAATTTTTAAACAAATAGGCCTCTAAGACCTATTTAGAGTCAGTACAGTCAAACTTACTTTCATAATAATACTAAGACTTATTTGCCTTTTTCACTGTCATTCTTTCACATGAGGTTTTTCTAGAGAAGTGTTTCTAGAGCTACCAGACACGTCAGGTTGAATGCAGAAGCAGGGAAGAAAATCCGGGTATTCCACTAATCCCAACAGTAAAAAGATTTGCAAAAATAGAAAACTTTGGCACACTTCTGTTTTGTTTGTTAAGGAAAATAGTTATTTTTCATAAAACATGTTGTGTTAACATGTAATGGGTTTATTATGGTTATTTTCTAGTTAATACATGCTTTTAAAATTTGTTTTCATTTCCAATAGTCAATATCGATAGATTGAACCTATATAAATAGAAGGTCTTGGAGATTTTCAAGAATTTTTAGGAGAGTAAAAGGTCCTGAGATCAAAAAGTTTGAGAAGGGATGGTTTATAACAGAGGAAAACTATTAAATCCCTGGGTTTAAAATTCAACACTCACATTAACTAGAAAATGAAGTTAAGTAGCCCCCAAAACCTTATAACTATTAAAAGGTGGCAGTTTCTTTTTGTTCTACCTATTTTCTAAGTTTTAGGGTCAGAGATAATGCAGAAACCCAAGACATCCTGTCCCAGGGTACCGAGGAACTGGTAAGAAAAAAAAAGGCAATTGAATGGGCGAGAGAATGTTTGCTTATATCCTTGCAAGCGTCTGCTTTGTGCGTCTGTGGTCATGGACACCACAGCCTACTCCCCCACCCCAATCTCCCTTTAAAAGCCCTAACTGCTTGTGCTTCCGGGAACTGTGGTTCTTTAAGGCACGGGCCTACCACTCCCTCATTTGTTGCAAATTAATAAATTATTCCTCTCTTTTCTTAAGAACGTCCTCATTGTTTTGTGATTTGACTTCTGTGACAAGAAGTTCAGTGACATGGTTTTCCATAACAGTTTGGAGGAACTAAGAGTTCACGAAGGAGGGTTTGCCAAATACCCTAAGCACCTGCTATGCCATCCTACCCTGGTGCTGCAGAACTCGGGACTTTCGGCAACCACAAGCTCTGCCACTTTTGTGGCTTTGGGGACAAATCCTCACCCCCGCCGTAGCAACTACAGGTTATTAAGCGGTTACCACAGGTTAGGCACTGAGCTCAGCGCTCCACATCTAACTACCACAGCAAGGCCATGTAGGGGTACTTGTATGCTCGTGGGGAGACTGGGAACCTGAAGCTGAGAGAAGTTAACCAACTTGACTACGGGGGGGTGGGTGGGACGTGGCGGCAGTGGGATTCGAACCCACACATCTGGCTGCAGAGCCCGGCCACTCCCGCTACAAGCTCCCGCTCAGGCCCTCGGTTTTCACACTTTTAAAGCCGGAATGACAGAGTGTGCAGCGTGGAGCAATGTGAGGAGCTGGGGAAAGCACTCCAAGGGAAATCGCGGTTAATCAGTCTGCCTGCACGCCCACAGGCCCGCCCCGATAGCTAAATCGGCCGACAGCCCGCTCCCTGCCCCTTTCCGCACCGGTCTTCCCGGACGGTATCCGCGCACGTTTCCGCTCCAAGGGGGCCCCCTGCCTCTTCATGCTGGGCACGTTCCTCCCCCGAGCGTCTTCAGTTTCCCCTCAGTTAGGATACTGGCGCGCGCAACCAACGAAGCGCGTCCACAGGGCTGCGCGCGCCCCTGCACGTAACCGACGTCCACGCCCCAGCAGCCCCCGTGAAAGCAGAATCGCTCAGCGCAGGCGCAGTCACTGCTCCTCGGCCTCGGAGAAGGGGCGCGCTCTGCGTGACCCGGATGTGCTCTCCTTTCGGTAGGCGGAGGGGGCTGCAGAGAGCAGGAGTGGTGAGGAGGCGGCCGTGCACCGTCCTCAGTATGCAGCGATTACTCTTTCTGCCTTTTAAGGCCTTGATGGGAAGCCCGGGTCTCCGGCCCCTGGTTCCTAGGGTGGCGCCTAGAGCACAGGTACCGGCCGCAGCGGAGTCGAGTGCGGAAGCGGGCATGGGGTGAAAGGACCTGGGGGAAGATAGTAAGACAACTGCACATGATGTTTACGTAGCTCCTTAAAGTTCACAGCGCATTTTCTAGTGTCCAGAGACCCTGGGTTCGGACTGGACCTACCACTCACTAGCTGTTTATTAGTCAGTTAGTCCAGGTAACCTTTCTGTACCTTAATTTCCTCATCTGTAAATTGGGGATAACAGTATGTACTTAATAAAGTTGTGAGGATTAAACGATTTAATATACATCAAGCGCTTAGCACATAATAAAACTTAATTTTTACCCATATGATTTTTGCCAAAAGCCCCCAGTTAGGGACTATAAGTCCATTCTATGGAGAGGGAAATTGGGGCATAATTTGTCTGAAGCTACGTAGTTAATTAAAAGCAGGAAACCTAACATGAGTCTTCGGACTCAGGGATGGAGTCAGAAGAGAGTGTGTATTCCCTTAATAAATAACTTGATTGATTGTTACGTGTTAGGAACGGGGAAGTGAAATAAATACCAAAAGGCTCCTGCCCTGGAGGAAGTCACAATTCATCCATTAGTCAGTCATTTGTCAGATCTTTATTATAAAGTCTTGTTATGTAAGGGAACTGTTAGAAACAAAGGTAGCAGGAGGGAAAGAGCCACACCGACCAGACACAGCTTACAGCTTAGTGGAAAATAGAGACAAATGAACCTCAAGTACATTACAGTGTTTTAAGCTGTATTAGGGGAGGTACAGTGTGCTGTGGGAGGGATCTATTGCAGATGCAGGCAACTCTGAAACACTTCCCAGAGGTGACATCCAAACAGATCTGCAGTAAGTGTTACCAATCAGGACAAGGTGTGTCCCAGTCAGAGAGAAATCATGTTTAAAAACCAACAGAGAAAAAATCCGTTATCTAGGTGTAGAGTTAAGTCTGAGAGAAGGATAAAGGACCAAAAGGTTTTTGTGATGTGAGAATAGATTGGAGTGAGGCAAGACTGGAGACAGTAAAACCAATTGGGAGGTGGATGCAGTAATCCAGAGAAGAGATGATGGTTTACCCCAGCACTAGCAGTGGAGATGTGGCCATACAGGGCATTCCACTCCAGAGTGGGACTGAATGTGAGTAGCAGTGGAGTAAGGCCTTTCTCTCTTTCTCGAGTAGTAATTTGTCTGTCTTGACCCTTAGTGTGGTTGCAGCTGTGGGATCAGATGCTCCTTGAGGCCAGGGCAATACAGCACCATCTCTGAAGTAGCTTTGCAATCTGGAAGGGGTACAGTGTCCCTTCCCTCAAAGGCTGCTGAGCGGGTGGTGGGCCGATGGCTCCTGGTCTGCAGTGGAACAGTGGCTGGAGCAGTTATTCTTGGTGGAGTGACTAGGTGAGTAATTTGCTCATAGCGAGTCAGCTATTTGGGACCAAGAGGAAAGGGATCTTAGGAATCATCTAGTCTAGCTCCCTCATTTTACATATTCAGACTGAGGCTTAAAGAGAGAATGAGAGAACATGTCTGAAGGCTTGCCTGCCATAGAACAGTTGAGTTTCATTAGTAGGAGCTTGGTTTAGTTTTAACTGTTAGTTGTGCATTGTCTGTGTATGTTTTCCTACTATAATCAGAGTTGAAATCTGTCTCAAATATTTTTGTGTAATTTGTTTGAATTAAACCCAAATAAATTTCATACATCACAACTGGTTCATATGCCTTTTAGGTTTCTTTAAATCCATGAAGAGGTTTGATAGATTTGGGTCTTACTCCCAACTCCCCATTTACAGTATTTTTGTTGTTGAAGAAACCCAACTCATTTGTCCTATGGAGTTGCCCACAGTCTGGGTTTTTGTTGATTGGCACTTGTGGTATTATTTAATATGTCCAGTTGTCCCCTGTATTTCTTGTATACCAGTTGTTGCTTGATCAGATTCAGGTTGGTAGGCAGGGAGCAAAATACTTCATAGATTATTAAAATGTTCATAAATATACTGTATCTATTAGAGAAGTCAACAGCCATTGATGATCATTGCCTAGATCCATTATTTCATTAGAGTTGCAAACTTGTAATGTTTTATTAGCGCTACTCTAAAGAGAAGCTTTCCCTCATCAGTAATTTGGTTATCCTAAGGTACAACTTATATAGGAAAGGCGGGATAAATACTTGATTCTTTCCCTTTACTTATTAATTTTCAAAATAATAAATTGGTTCCCAAGCATCCTCCAGAGGTGACCAATAAAATGCTTGAGCTTTAAAGTATTATTATGATCTTAGGTTTAAACATATTTGAAATGTTTCAATTTACTGAACTGATGATGAGTTGATTAGATTGTCTCATCTTTAGTCAGTGGGAACCTCTTCATATTGGTTCCAGGGTCTTTTTGACAGCACTCTAGGAACTTTTGATTCCTTGTTTTCTGGGAAAGATGTTCCAGGCTCATCTTACACATTTCCTGCCTCAGACCTAAAAGCAGCCTTTTACTATAGGTGAAAATACTTACTGGTGTTAAAAAGTATGTGTTCCCTAAATTGTGTCCACATTACCTATGCCCTTATTTCAAAAGATATTATGTCTTATATAGGCTGTTAGTGGAAATGGCAACAAATTTGAATTTTACTGCCATTAAATTCACTCAAGAACCTAAACTGTTGTATATGTGTTAACAGATCTCTTCTCTGTGTAAATGAAAAGCATTATTCATTTAGGGTACATTCCTTAGGTCTAAGGGTTGATTTTATCTGTCAAGAGATGCTAATGAAAAAAGTAGGGAGAATTTAAGGATTGAGTTAAAAGTTAAGAAAGGATTGAGAGAACAAAGACTAAAGAAATTTGTATATGATGGCAGCTGTTTCTGACAAAATTCTAAGCAGTAAGAAGATAGCAAGATGTCAAAAGAGGATACACTGAAGTTATGTGTTCACCTGTAGAGGAGTTAATTTCAAATCCACATGTTGTAAACCATTTATCTAAGCAGGAAGAATATAGAAAGATGTCAAAAGAGGATACAATGAAGTTATGTGTTTACCCTTAGAGGGGTTAATTTCAGATCCACATGTTGTTGTAAACTTTAAGTAATCCAGCATACATAAATATTCTAATTTCTTTCCTATTTAAGGTTGACAGAGTCTGGCCTCTCAATGGTAGATTGGCATTTAATAAAAGAGATGAAGCCACCTTCAAGCCAAGAGGAATGGGAAGCAGAATTCCAAAAATACCAGCAATTTCCAGAATTTAAAATGTAAGTATGTTACAAAATCAGGTCAACATCCCACTAGGCCCACTTAGTCTTTTGCATATTTAAACATTTCAGAATGGTTAGATTCCGTTATCTCTTGATGCTTGGCTCAGTTATGTTAAATGAGGTGCCTACTCTAAACCTCCAATTCCAGAGTGATTCTGAGGTCACTGATGAGAAGAGGGCAGACCTATTGAGCTTCAAGACTGAGAATGTTCCTACATTCTACTGGGAAACAAACTTTTTTCTTTTCTGACTTCCCTTTTCACCCAGCTTGAATCATAATATGACATTGGCAGAATTCAAGTTCATCTGGTACATGGAGTACTCACACCGAATGTGGGGTCGCCTTGTAGGCCTTGCATACATCCTGCCTGCTGCCTACTTTTGGAGGAAGGGCTGGCTCAGCCGCAGCATGAAAGGACGTGTTCTTGCCCTCTGTGGTTTAGTGTGCTTCCAGGTGAGGTTTACTCAAGTTTGGGAAAGCAGAGATGCTCCCAGGAGCTTCCTACTTGGCATTGTTTTTAAGGAGGTAGTCTTTGAGGCACTATAACAGAATGGGTAAGAGCATGGATTTTAGTGTCACAGTTCTGGCATTGACCCAGCTCTGCCACTTAGGAAAGCAAGTTGTCTTACCTCTGTAGGCTATGTTTTCCTTACCTGTAAATGGGGATAATAATAGTGCCTGCCATTTAGGTTGTATGAATGTTAAATGAGATCATGCATCTAAAGTACTTAGTTTAGTGCCCAGAATTGGGAAACACTCAGTAAATATATTTGTGTAACAAGAATTAGAGTTTCTTTCCCATCATGACTCTCTTTCTGGGTTCTCACCTCCCTTTTTCTAACTTACCTGCCATATGGGAAAGTAGGATCCTTGTGCTAGAGTGGCTACAGAAGCAAATAGGAAAATTCCAAAAGAGAAACATTTTGTGGGATGAAGGATCTTAGAGTACAGATGTAACTGAGAAATATTCAGATTAAATGGTAATTAAACTGACATAGGTTGAACTCATGAAGAAAAGAACTTTGAAAGACTCCCACAGTTAAAGAGTTAAGTGAGACTGAGAGGAAAGGAATATGACAGAAGGTGCCTATGAATGTATGGGTCAGAGTATACAGCCCTAAGGGAGAGTCTCAGCATCAAAGAAATACCAAATTTGATCAGGAGAAAGCTAATTGGTTAATTTAACTCAAAGTGGTAAGAATATGAATCGATTAGAAGAAATTAAAGAAGGAGATGGAATAGAGCCAATAGAAACAGATAATAAAGAGTTGGACATTAATGAAAGTCTAATAGTAACTAAGGAAGGTCAGTAAAATAAAGTAAAAGGTTATTTTGGAATGGGAAAAAAACACTGTAGACTCCCCGGGAGGCAGAAACTTGAAGATAGCAGGTAGGGAGGAAAGGAGGAGGAAGCTGAGGGCTGGCAAATCACACCTTATAATCCTTCATTTTCCATTGTCCTATACTTATGAAATCAATATAATTAGAACATATCCAGGGTAATTGTTGAAGGGAGAAAGAAATGCCCAGAATGATTTCCTGAGGAGTACTTAGAAGAGGTGGGAGAATCCCACTTCTTTGATATGATTCTACTGGCTTGAGAGGGTTGAGTGAAAGGGCCATTATCTTATCTGATAAAATTGGAACTGACAGTTGTTTGGTTAATTGGAAAGGTCAGTTAAAGCAGGGATTCATAGAATAATAAATAATACATATCTTAAACCATGTACTTTCGTTACCTTTTTTTTTTTTAATGAAGAGCTAAGTCCTATTCTTTGAGTCCTCAAATTGGAGTTCATTTTCAGATCTCTTGCACCCCTGTAAATTATCATTTATTTTCCTTAAAGAGGAGTGGGGACTTTGACTCTTGCAAAGCAATCTGCCTACAAAGCCTTATAGATTGTTGTGACTCCTCCCCACCTCCCCAGAAAAACTTTTATAATTGTCTATTCCCACTAGCTTGACAATAATTGTTTTTAAGTAGTTGTCTTTGTCAAAGCTTTCCCAAAGCATTCAATCTAGTTTTTATAAAAACTTTTCATTCTCATATTTCACTGGTTTACATAATGTTAAATTATATCGAGTATTTGTAAGGTTTTGCCTGCAGACATGTTTTTGTGTACTTTTCTATACTTGGCTTATACTTGAGTAAAATATTAGTCTAATCAGTGGTTAAGTATATATGTTACTGTCTGCGGCAATGTGGACAGGTCATGGTTCCTGGGATACTGGGGCTACAGGAGGGTATGGAAAGGAGAGGTCATGTAGCAAGGCCTCCTGATAATTGATGACTCACTTTCTCAGATAATAAAGTTGAACAGACAATTTCAATATTGTTTTATTTGCCTCTTCTCTTTTTGATTTGAGGGTCTGTTGGGATGGTATATGGTGAAAAGTGGATTAGAAGAAAAACCAGACTCCCATGACATCCCTCGGGTCAGTCAGTACCGCCTCGCTGCACACCTGGGGTCAGCCCTTGTTCTTTACTGTGGCAGCTTGTGGACTTCACTCTCACTGCTGCTCCCTCAGCACAAGGTAGAAGTCAGCCTATATTGTTACCACATCTGCACAGATGCCGACAGTCTCAGAGAAATGGAAATTCTGGTTCTAATGGGAAATTATAAGTCAGAATGCATGAATCTGCTTAGTAATATTTACTAATTATCAGAAATTAAATATAACCAAAGACTAGAGAAGCACTGAACTTTGGGAATCTGGATAGCTTTGAAACTGCAAAGCAAAAATGTGCAATTATTCTTCTGAGCTGGAGCAACTCATTTAAAGGAGAATTAGTATAGGAGCCAAATATTTTGTCTGCATTGCCTATTGGGAAAGGTGAAAACATGATTTTAGAAAAAGTGGGAAAGAATACAAACAAGAGATATCTCAGTTGCTTTACTTCTGACTCCCAGAAGGATGGTATATGGTGAGGTGAGGAAGGCCAGAATGAGCACTATTTCTGGACATCTCGTGGTATATGAGAGCCATATTGAGCTGTTTGTTCTTTAAACAGGACCTACCGTTCATCAAGTCTAACAGTATATATATAGTAAACCTTAGTGATATTGCTTGAAACTATTTTCTCTGTATGCTGATTAAAGAAAAAGGTCTGACCTCAAATTGTCACTTGGGTTTGGCCTTGGAGATATTTGCTGTGTTTCATAGTTCTTGCAGTAGTTTTTTCTAGTGTTTTTAAAAATGAGTATTATTTTAGGTATTGTAGTCATGGTTGACTTGGATGACCTTCACGAAGTGAAGTTTGACTTTTAAGTAAGATCATCCAATAGGTAGTTGAAACAAGTAGCCTGGGTCCCAGTAAGGACAGGTATTGTTGACATGGCAGTCATTCCCACAGGGAAGCCAGATGGGGTTAAAATACTGGTATAGTAAACAGTCCACATCTGAATAATTCCTGTTCTCTTTCAAAGCCAGACTTCTAGAATGAATTGCCTACATCTGTAGTTACTGATACCCCATTCTTTCTGTTCAGTTCCTGCCATCTGTTTTCCCATCCACACCATATGAGCATATCCGCACATTCACTCACACACTTACACGTGTACCCACACACTCCTCAACACTCAACTGAAATGGTACTTGTAAGGGTTACCAGTGACTTTTTAATCATCAATTAAATGCTTTTCTCTGTTTATTTATGCTCCACTAATTACAGAAAGGATTTGAGATGATAGTCAGACATATAGTGCTATGTTGTCCAATACATTAGTGCCATGTTATCCAACACACATGTGACTATTAAACTTTAATTAATTAAAATTAAATAAGTTAACTTTATTTAAATAACTTATTTACTTAAATGTTAAATAAAATTAACTTCTTATTTGTCAGTTGCTCTGGCCTCATTTTAAGTCCTCCTTTAGGCACATACTGGGTAGCACAGATAATAGAGCATTTCCGTCATCACAGCAAGTTCTGCTGGACAGTACTGATATACTGTCCTGTGATGTCTAAGTAATGATACCTAACTCTTCACATACTAGGTTATAAACATTTTAAGGGCAGCACTCTGAATTAACTCCTTTGTATCTTTATGGTTACCCCTTTATAAGTACTTAATAAATATTTGTTGATTCACTGATTAGTATCAGAAGTTGGCTGTAGTAAAAAATAAAAATAAATTTTGATTTTACCAAAACGTTAAATGCAAGAATCTACACCCTTGGATGTTATGTAGTTGTGATTCTGACAGTATGTATTTGCTAAGCGCTAAGTACTATACACCACATGAAAATTCTATTAAGCCACCTCGTTTCAACCATGGTGAAGCATTTTTCCCCTGAACAATGCAAATCATTTATGAACATACATATTGTATGTATTACTCAACATACCTACTTGCCAAGCACTGGGCTAGGATCACTGTAATAAGCAAGACAGATGGCAGTCCCTGCCTTCACAAAACTTACAGGGTAGCAGGGAAGACAGATAGTAAATGTGTGAATTTAATAAAATATAATATATGTTAGAATATCTGCTGAGAATATTTAACCTAGGCTAGGGCTCAGAGAAGGTCTGACCTCAAATTGTCACTTGGGTTTGGCCTTGGAGATACTTGCTGCGTTTCATAGTTCTTGCAGTACAGTTTATCCAAGTGATTTTCTTCTCTTAATTTAGTTGCCTGAAACCCGTCAACTCCTGCAGTTGAGACGATTTGCTCATGGAACAGCAGGCCTAGTGTTCCTTACGGCTCTCTCAGGTAGGACTCTTCTCATTAGTAATGGCCTGTTTTTGTTCCACTCTTCAGGTAGGATCTCTTGCTTAATGCTTTGTCCTTTCCTCTTGCACCTTCCTGTTTCATTTTCACCCCTGCCTCTCTTACACCCGTCATATTCACCCTCAGTTTTCTATTCTTCCTCCCTTAAAAAAATCCTGCCTCCCAGTTAACTGAACAAAGATATTGAGAATCTATCTGGATCCAGACTGCCTAAGTTCAAATCCTGGCTGTGAACTATATGACCTATGAACCTTGGGCAAGCTTTATAACCCCTCTGGGCCTCAGTGATCTTATCTGTAAAATGGGGATGATGGTAATAGTATGTGTAATACAGGTGAAATTCTTAGAACAGTACCTAGCAGGTAGCAAAAGCTATATAACTGTTAGCTGTTATTATTATATAAACATTATTGTGATTATTATTACCTTATACAAAGATGAGTCAGACAAAAGGCCTGCCTTCAAAGATAGTCTTAAGTGAACAGTTCACTGGGGCCGAGACGAACACAGGACTTTTTCATTCTTTAAATCACACCTCCATATCTGCCTCTACTTTCCTCACTCTAGAACTGTACTGTCCAGTACATACATTAATCACTAGCCTCGTGACTATTTAAACTTATATTAACTAAAATTGTATAAAATTTTGAATTTAGTTCCCCAGTCACACTAGCCACGTCTCAAGTGCTCAATACCTACACATGGCTAGCAGCTGTTGTATTTTCTCGAAGATAAGGAACATTTCCATCGTGGCAGAAAGTTCTGTTGACAGCACTGCTCTAAATAAAACCATCAAACCAGTAATCCACTCAAACCTCCTCCTCCCAGACACTTTCCTTTTTGGTGGAAGAACATAAATGCCATTTATAAAAATAAGGAATGTGATCTAAACATCCCTGAATCTTCTTTGATCCTAAATTAATGAATCAGTCATCATTAATTCAAAATACCTTCTTTATGTGTTTATCTAGGATTTAGTTTTTGAGTCTTTTTTTTTCCATGTTCATTCAACAAACATTTTTGAGCACTTGGGAAAGGTGCAATAAACAATAAAAAAAATATGTCAGATGGTGTTCATTACTGTAAAGAAAAAAATAAAGCCGGATAAGGGGATAGAGGTGGGGCAGAGAGTGCCAGCTTACATAGAATCACTGGGGAGATCTCTTTGATAAGATGGCATTTGAGTGGAGGCCAGAGGAAGTGAAGGAGTGAATTATGCAGATATGTGGGAGAGGAGCATTTCCAGAAGAAATCAGTACTCACTGCAGGGTAAGGAGGGCGTCAGAATCACCAAGGGAACTTTTCCCAACTCATGTGTCTCTCTCTAGAGCTTCTAGTCCACTCTTCTAGGGGACGCATGCCAGAATCTTGTGGCAGGAGCAGGTGAGGCTGCCGTTGTTGGTTTCTAGCTTCCTGTGGTGATTGTGATGTCCATTCCCTACTTGAGAACCCCTACTGGGTATTTTTCTATTCTTCTCTGGCTATTCCTCTTTTTTTTTTTTAATTCCTTTTGTGTAACTCTAGGATGATAAACTTTTTCTATGTCAGAATTAATGTGTGATCTCTTCTTTCTCTTATTTTAATAAATACCACTTATTTTGGAATACAGGGGCTTTTGTAGCAGGGCTGGATGCTGGGCTTGTTTACAACTCCTTCCCCAAGATGGGAGAATCTTGGATCCCAGATGATCTTTTTACCTTTTCCCCCATCCTGAGGAATGTTTTTGAGAATCCCACCATGGTGCAGTTTGATCACAGGATTCTGGTAAGTCTGGGTTGGAGGTTACCTGCTACTGAGCACAGGGAGCCTTTCAGAGGATTTGGAGTGTCTGAAACATACCAACAGTGAGAGAGGAGAGTGGGAACTAGATTGCTTTTTCTTTTTAGAAGAAATTTAGTACCAGTTCTCCAATGTGATATTTTTGTCCTAATTACTCATACCTCCTCCAGCCAGATTCTGGCTTTCAGGATACTGCCAGCTTCTTAAAGTTCAAATATGTTTTTATCATATGGCAAATAATAACTTCCATCAATCCTGTACCCATGTAGGAGAGTTATTCTAGCAGAAATGAAGCTGAGTAGAGCAGAGAGTGCAAGAACACTCTGTGTTGCTGAACCAAATCCCCGAGGAGCCAAGAGCATCACAAGTACTTCTCATTTTATTAAGGCTGATACTTACTAGGGGCCTGCTGTGGGTCAGGCTGAGATTGGCTGAGTGGCCTGGGCATGATAAATTGGGGCAGGGAAACAAGGAGACTGGCAAGGAGCAGGAGTGCTATTGCAGCAATGTTGGTGAGAGTGATGGGGCTCGAGGCTCCCTGGGAGTGAGGTTTGAGAAGAATGGTGAATCAGAGAGAAGTTATAAGGAATAGATGATTGGCTGTGGGAATAAAAGTAAAGAAAGATGGGGGAAAAAAAGGTAAAGAAAGATGAAAGGAGACTCCAGAGTTTTTTCTGTGGCATGCTATAAACACAACCAACAGAAATGGGACCATTGGGATGAGTGTTGAGCTTAAAGATGGAGGATGTCATCACGTTGAAGTATGTTGAGTGTGTGATCATAGAACACCCAAAGAGAGTGGTCCAGAGTACTCAACTATCCAAAGGGCATTCTGGAGCTTGGCCAGTTACCTTGTGTGGCTCAGTCCACACTTGCCACTCAGCATTATGGAATAAATATTGTCTGGTTGAAATTGTCATCATGGATAGCTCTGAAGAGGAGAAGTGAAATAGATGTAGAGCATGAGATAAAACATTCTTCTTAACATCTTGGAAAGGAGGAGACCCTATTGCCAGTCCCAGACACTCATTCTGAAGGGGTAAAAATAGAAATGAGAATAAGACTTCATATCTTTTTTAGTAGCATTAGTTTGGTAGCACCACCACCTTTTACTCACAGTCCAGGAAAACAATAACCCTTATGTGCTGGGTTCAACCCTGCTTTACAGATACAGGATTAGAGTAGAGGTGAAATGAGGAATAAGGATACAAAGAAGGATTTAAAAACTGGGGACCACCCTGAGGGACACCCACATTGGAAGGTGGCGAGGATCACTGAGAGGAAGTATGCTCAAGTGACTGGGGAGGAACCTTTAGTGTAGCCTTGAGCAACACTGATTTAAGTGGCCAGCATAAGAGGAGCATGGAAGAGACTGAGCCCCTTCAGATGGGGCGGCAGAGGTGGTCCTCTGGGCCTGGGACAGGACAGTGCTTAGTGGTTACTCCGTGGTTCCAGAGGAGGTACCCATAAAGTGGGCAGAAACCAGAAGGGTGGGACATTTCTTCTGGCACTTGATGAGACTCTTTCCTCCCTGCAGGGAATCACTTCGATTACTGCCATTACAGGGCTCTACTTCCTCTCCCGGAGAGTCCCCCTTCCTCGAAGGACCAGGGTGGCAGTGGGGACTCTGCTAGCTTTGGCATATACCCAGGTACTAACCCCTTCTTTCTGGTCTGAGTGTGTCCCCAAAGCAAAGTTCTAAAAGAAATGTGACAGGGTAGGAGGATATATTTTCAATACTTATAATAGACCAAAAGATTAATCAGCAGAATACAATAAGGAAAGGAGATCGGTACACAATTCTCACAAGAGAAATGATGAATGGCCAATAATGAAAAGCTGTTTAGCCTCACTCATGATCAGAGGGGAACAAATTAAAATACTGAATGCCATTGTTTTGTGATTATGCATGCCAATAATGCAATTGTATCTGTCAGATTAGAAAAAAATGGGGGGGAAAGGTAATTAGGTATTGGCTTGGGTATAGAAAAATGAATACTTTCATATATTCTTGATGAGAGCATGAGTCGGTATAGCTTTTTTCAGAGAGCAGTCTGGCAGTATCTTTTAAAATGCTCAATGTGTAATCCTTTGGTCCAGCAAATTGATTTATTAGTGCCTGCCCTAGAAATATGCTAAGGCACAAAGAGCTATATGTAAAAAAATTTACTGTAGAATTGCTGATAGTAAAAATTTGGAAACAACCTAAATATTCAACAACCAACTATGGTTCATCCTGTAGAATACTATACAGTAGTTTAAAGTAATATGCTCTTAAGACATATATTGATAAGTGAAAAAAAGCAAGTAACAGAATAATGTAATTTTTAAAAGCACAAAACTGTGTTTCTCCACAAACACGTGTGTAGAAACTGGTAACAGTGGTTACCTTTGGGGAGGAGAACTGGGATAGAGGGAAGGATAATTCAGGGGAATTTTAGGTTTATCTATTTTGTTTGAGTTTCCTTCATTGTAAGCATATTTACTTCAGAATTTTAGAAGTACATTCTTTAGTGTTCTGATGGGAGATGTGGGAGTTTGCATATTTGGTTACTCACCATATGTCGGCTCTGAATTTGTGGCTCATTCTTTGCTTCCTGTTGTCTTCCCTTTGCCACAGGCAGGCTTGGGCATTAGCACTCTGCTGATGTATGTCCCGACTCCCTTGGCTGCCACTCACCAGTCAGGCTCCCTGGCTCTGCTCAGTGTTGCCCTTTGGCTCATGAATGAACTCCGAAGACTCCCAAGATAATTCTCGGAGGATCAGCTTCCTAGGACTGAAACTGTGCTTTTGAGAGCTCATAAGACAGCACAAGAACTTGGACTTTCTAAAGGATGACCTTGGCATACCAGGTGGTTTCCAAATTGGCCAGTTTATTTAAAATTCTTTGTCTGCTTTTGAAGCAGTCACTTGATCAAGAATGTCATTAAGTATGGTTATGCTTAACTATTCCCTTTTAGATTTCACACTGAATATCAGGTTTAACATAGAGAGAGAAATGTCTTCAGTTTCCTGCTTCTTAATAGGCTATCTCAGCCTTCTTAATGTTGGCAAGCTCTTGGTTCTACATGCGTGATCTCTGTCTCCTTGACCTTCTGAGTCCTGAATTCTGCCTAAGTAGAACAACTTTATGTTCTCAACTTCATTCCGTCAGATGAAGATTCAAGGGGAAGGATGGCATACCTTAAAGTGGCCAGATAGCCTGTAGCAAGAAACAGCTAGTGTCTTCTAGTATCCTAATTTTCAGAAATGGGGAAAGGGTAGGTCTTGACAAGCTTAATGTCTATATGCAGCAAAATGGTTTATAAGTACTTAGAAAAAGGTAATTGCTACTAGTAAGCCACTGGAGTCACCAAGCACTAACCTAGTTTCTCTTCTGATGTCCAGGTCAGATAAATGGGATAGTATAAATCAGTTCCTGAAAGGGTTTCCTAGCAGCCTCATGGAAAAAAAAAATATGGCCTTGATGGTGTAGTATTCAGATATTTAAGCAAATTGTTGATTAATGAATTATGATTTTGGTCTCTGTTGGTATTTTACAGGGCTGTTTTATTCAACTTTATTTTTTAATCAGTAATTTGTGTAAAGGCATCAGAAAAATAAGAATTGAGGGATGAAGCAACCCAGCATTGCTAATATATTAGATGACAGTCACAAGTACAATTCCAGAGTGACACCATCAAGGTGAAATTTAGATTATAAATGTAACATCCTCATTTAAATTAAATGGGTTATATAAGTTTGGGATGGATAAAACTGGTTTCTTATCATTTCATATGAAGACGACTTAGGGATTTCAGTTGCCCACAGGTTCAGCATGAACAAACAGTGTGATAACACTAATAAAAATTAGTAATATTTCAGATGTTATCAATAGAAGTGTCACAGCCATAGACACAGCCTCAGTGCAAGTCCTGCATTTCACTCTGGGTATCAAATTTAAGGACGTTGACCACTAGTATGTATCCAGAGGAAGAGCCCAGGATGGTAAAGAGTCCAGAACCATATCACACAGGGAACACTTGAAGACTCTAGGGGTACTTAGTTGGAGGAGAACGTGGGCAAGATTCCTGCCCTTGAGAAGTTGAAGCCCTCTCATGCATAAGAAGGAATGAGCTTCCTTTATGCTGCAGAGCTGGGAGCAGTGGGTGAAAGTTACAGAAACTAGTTTTTAGTTTCTGTAACTTTAGAAGGCAAGAGTAAGTTGGACTAAATCAATGCCCACTCAGGTCAGGTTGGTAGAGACAGTGGCAAACTGGAGAGCAGCAGGTGCCTCAGCTAAGGGGCTAAAACCACTGCTGAGTTCTGGCCTGCTGCTGCTGTGCAGATCCACGGTTGTCAAATCTGCCTGGTTTTTTGAAAGAAGCCAGATAGCTAGATTTTTATGTGAAAGCTCTCAAGGATTGGCAACCAATTTCAAAATTTTTTAAACATTATTCTGAATACATCTGGGAGCCATAAATGACCTAAGTTTTGCCTATTAGTAGTCTCTGGACTAGATGATCTTAGTTCCCTTTCAACTCCCAATTTTCTGTGAGTTTCAGTGTGACCACTCTCAAGTGGTTCCTAGCAAAACAAAAGTAGACAATTTGTCTTTGATTTCTGAGAAATCCCAGACCGTATGCTATTGATATGAGTGGTTCCTAGCTTCTCACATTAGAATCTTTAGAAATCCTAAAGCCCAGGCCTCACCCAAAACTAGTTAAGTCACAATCTCTGGAGGCAATAAGGGACATTTTTATGTTCTTCAGGTGATTCCAATGTGCAGACAAGTTTGAGAACCACTGGCCTAGGCCTAAATAGCCTAAGTTTTGACCAGTTTATTCCCATTTCTTCTGAATTTCCGCTCTACCCTATCTCATTTCATCTGCTGTATTGATCCTATAAATGTGTTAATGGAGTATCCCCTCTTCAAGATAGAATTCTTTAAAGAAAGGCAACTGCAGTCCCTGTGACAAGTTCCCATACCATATATCCTGATCCTTGAACTAAGGTTGTCCTTAGTTAATAACTGAGTTAGCAGAGGGCAGTCTGATCCAACCCAAAGAATCATCTGTTAATACTTACACAGTTCCCTCCAACAAAATAGTAATGAATGAAGAAAATAAGTTCAAGTTTCATGTTTCATGTTTTAGTTTGTTTTTCCTTTATTGAAGATGAATGAGTTAAGAAAAATAGATCTGGTTGCATTTGACTATATAATTGTAGATGCCATTCTGTACACTCCTCGTGAATGGAGACTATCTGAATTATTTTTGTTTGCATTATTCCCAGCATGAGACATGTATCAAATATTCCATGAACGATTGGAAAATGGGTTACAGACTGATGTCCCAGACACCTCCTTCAAAATAAGTCATCACATACCTAGAAGATTAAATGAAGTCCCCTTAATATTTTGAAAGGTCTCTCAACAATTCTGTCAGTTGTTATTAAACATTAAAGAAAAACTCTTGGCTTTCTTAATCAACCCAGAATTTTTTTTCTTCAACTTACACTGACAAATACTGTCCACTGTGGCAGGGGTAACAACTCACTACTGCCTAAAGTGATGCTGGCTGCCAAGCCAACACAGAGGATCATGATACTGGGATAACCAATGTATGTGTAGCAATCCTTCCAGTCCTGGAATGAATGGTGGGTTATAGGTTGGCCATGTCCCTCCATAAGGGAGAATGCATCCCTTCTCTAATATGCATTGCACATTTTTCAACACTGACTTAAAAGGATTTAACAGAACTTTAAGAACAGCTCAGCAAAACTTATGTGAAGCATTAGAAAAATAGGCAATCTTAGCAACCCCTAAAAATGATGCATTGTAGGCAACCAATATTTTTCTAAAATGAGAAGGGAGTATCTAATGGATGATAATAAAAAGTGCCTTTCAACATCGCAGAGTCCTTAATTCAAGGCAGAAATAATGGAGACAAGGCATATACTTCAGGGCTTCAACTAAAGGGTAATTGTGGAATGAGAATTTCAGACCAACATAGTGACAAATACCAGAAATCAGTGTCTTTCTAGGATCCTCGCACATTTAAGACTGGTTTAGCTAGTAAGGGGCAGAGCCTTTACCACCACTGTCTTAGGCCAAACTCTGGCAGGTGGTCTGTGAAAGGTGCTGCTTAGGAAAGTAACAGGGCTACCTTACATTGGGAAGATGGAGTGGTAGGTTGCCAGAGAGTATGTATGAGTGGCTGCACTGAAAAAAGAGGCTCAGAAGCAGACATGTCTTCAGGCTTGCCTGAAATTGTGCATGCATAGCTATCAACATCCTGTCAGATTTTTTTTCAACTTTGGTTTTTATAAAAATGGCAAGCAATGATTGAATATGTATTAAAGTAGAAAGCCCTTGTAATGTGAGTAATGTTTCACTTTTACAAATAAAAGGATCTCCTTATTGCTCAGACTTCCAGAGAAACAAAATGGTCAATGAATGTATGCCTCCTCTGTCCCTCTAATAGTACTGACAAACTAAGAAATAATGACACATTAAGGCAGAGGGAAACACTTGTGTAAATAATACACGCAAAGGGAAATATATTGGGATATAAAAAGTCCTCGTTTTTTAATAAATAGTGTTTATAATACCAACAAAATCTTCACAAGTTTCAGAAAGCATATGGCCCTTGTGGTAGGACTTTTAAGACCTGCATAACCTAAGAGATTAATTTGAGAGAATTGGAGGCATCCATTGCTACTTTGGCCTTAATTCCTAATCCCAATTGAAGTTACATTACATATCAAGCATAAAGGGAAATTAAATGTTAATTCTGAATTAGTTCAAGACAGCAAAAAAGGAACAGCACTTTGTTTCTGTAAGGGAGTCTTGGTACTGCCCAGAAATTACAATCAAGCTCCCTAATGAGGTAGATCTAATAGGCATTTATACCTTGAAGTAATTTAGATTGTAACTGTCACATGATTTGCTTGGATGTTGTGGTTAAGAAAATTGTACAAAATTAAGCAAATTGTTTACAAGAGACATCTAAAATTTTAAAGTATTAAATACAGAATGTAGAGATGTAGCAAACAGTACTATTTCTAACAAAGTATTTCATATTTTATTCCTAAATGTGAGCAAAACAATCATAAATGAATAGCAGAAGCAGTTACAGAGGTTGGGCATGGTTGGTTGTATTACAAAGAATAGATTGTTGAAAATCCTACTATTTGCAACAACATGGATGGAGCTAGAGGGGATTATGCTCAGTGAAATAAGCCAGGCAGAGGAAGACAAGTACCAAATGATTTCACTCATTTGTGGAGTATAACAACAAAGCAAAACTGAAGGAACAAAACAGCAGCAGACAGAGTCCAAGAAGGGCCTAGTGATTATGAAAGGGAAAGGGTCGGGGACCAGTGGGAGAAGGGGATTAAGGGGCATTATAATGAGCAATCATAATATAGGTAGGTCACGAGGAAGGCAGTACAGCATGGAGAAGACAAGGACAATAGCATCTTACTACCCTGATGGACAGTGACTGCAGTAGGTCGGGGGGGACTTGATAATATGGGTGAATGTTGAAATCAGTGTTGCTCAGGTGAAACCTTCATAAATATCAATGATACCTTAACTTAAAAAAAAAGAATAGATTGTTGAAATACACAATATTGTGGGAAGATTCTGTCAATGTACATTTCAGTGTAGCTGTCAAAGGTGAGCATGTATCTGGTACAGAGAACAGAAAAAAGTGGATCCAGGAAGCCACTGTGACTTTACCTATATTACTATTGCTCTAGGCCTCAGTTTCATCACTCATAAAATCAAGGGGTTAACCAGACCTCTTAAATGCCAGCTTCAAAAATCTTCTGAAATTTCATGGTGTGGGGGGGGTCATGGAGAAGACAGTGTAGCACAGAGAAGTAGTGACTCTGGCATCTTACTACATTGATGGACAGTGACTGCAATGGGGTATGGGAGGACTTGATAATATGGGTGAATGTAGTAACCACACTTTTTCATATGAAACCTTCATAAGAGTGTATATCAATAATATCTTATTTAAAAAATTGTATAAAAAAATCTGAAATTTATGTTGATTGCTGTTGGAAACTACATTTCCATCAATTTTAATGTCAGGGGCTATGGATAAAGTGAATGACCACTGGCTCTTTTGGGCATCCTGCTCTTCTAAACCCAAGGTCAAAATCCTCTTCCTGAAACTGTATTACTTTATTACTACCTTCTCTCCTGCCTTTAGTTCCTTAAGCCAATGGTTCTTCCTCTGGAACTGGCTTCAGATCATCTTGTCTAGCCACTTTACTGGCATTTTATTTTACAGATGAAAGATGAACCAGAGAGTACCAGAGCTAGTTAATGAAAAAGCCAGGAAGCCGGGACTAAAATCCATGTCTGCTGCTTATTTAAAAAAATTCGAACACAGAAAGTGGCATAAAAGGCAAAGACTCTCCTTTCCCATCCCTGCCCTTAACCAGTTTTCTTCACTATCCCAAATCTAATTCCTTTCCCAGGAGGATCCACTATTTGAAGTTTGATGTGTATCTCTCTAGACGTTTTTCTAGGCATTTATTTACATGTATATGTGCATATACATAGTCTTGTTTTCTTCTACAAAAATGGGCTCACACCATCTGTATTACTGTGTAATTCACTTAAATATTTCTAGGCAATCTCTTACACCATCTGTATTACTGTGTAATTCACTTAAATATTTCTAGGCAATCTCTTTATGTCAGTACACATAGATCTATCTCATTTTTAACTGCTCTCTGGAATCCCACAGGATGAATATAATTTAACCATTCCCTGTCTGATGTACAGTAAGGTTTATAACTTGTCACCATCACAATAATGTTGCTCTAATAATAAATACCCATATATATATATA